CACATCGCTAAGCTATCCGTAAACCATATGTCATCCCTTACACCCCCTCCAAGCTGATTGCCACCTCAAAGCTTCTCCCATGTTGAAATTCTGGAACTCCCCAGGGGAAAACTGAGAGCGCTATGCAAAGGTATATTAAAAGCTTGGTCCGCCTTTGTAGATATATATGTGAAAGAAGCCTAGAATAATTATATCCTTTAACTAGTCCCCCTGCCCCCAACACACACACACACACACACACACACACACTTAACAGTCACAGTCGTACTTAGATATTATGAAATGCATTATCTCTCAGTGATTGGTGTTCCCATGTTGGGAACAAAGTGAAAGGAGACATGATTCTCCTAAAACACTTCAGCGCAAATAAAGTACCCAAGCAGGCACTGCATTCCTTCATCATAGGCATTGCTAATATCCTCTCCTGATGTAATTTTGGGCATGATGTTTCAGAACTATGATTACGAGGTCTGGGCACCAGCCTGCCATGAAAAACAAACAGACACAAACCTTTAAACACCAACTCCAAAAACAAACAGCTGTTACCAAATTGTCTACGCAACTCCCACCCTAAAAAGGTTCTTGAAGCCCAAGCTAGGATAGCCAGGGGTGCCAGTTTACCAGGGATTATGCCAGTTTTAGCCCTGAAAGTCCTTTTTCCTATGAATTCCCCCAGTCCCAGGCAAACCTGGACTCTGGCTCGCCCTAGCTAAAGCAAAGAAGGTGAAATAAAAGCCAGCATGTATTGATTTTGTGTCCCCCTCTGTTAGGTAGACACAAATATAGATATAAATAGTGATCCATGGGCCCCTGCATCTCAGGTACCTGACAGGGAGAGACCAAATTATTTTACAGCTAACAGAATTCTGTAGTTTGGGGGAGCCTGCAACTTCAACTTTACAAAGGGGAACCAAGCGTTTCTTTGAGCCTAGACTTTTATAAGCTAAAATAAAATTTTTAAATGAGAAATTTCAGGAATTCAAGTCACTGAACTATGCTGCCTACCTCTTTCTTCCTGTTTGAGCTTTGAAGATTAGCATTCCGTATTTTTCATGACATTTATATTGAGGAAGGAATATAAGATTATTAAAAGCAGAGAAACTCAATATTGGGAACACACATCAAAAGGTCTTCAAGACAAAGAAGGGATCATATGATTTGAAACCAGAGTTACTAGAAGCATGTGTGCTGCACTTCATTTTCTAGTTAACAGTGTAACATACGTCAAAATATGATTTAAAACGCTTCTCACAGCTAAGCTGACATTTGGCGATCCTCAGCCTTCTTTTGCTCTTGAGGATGGGGGTTCAAATCCAAATGAGGTTAACACTTTGTACTGGTACATATTCCTGGTGGATGAGAAAAGCAGTCTTTTAGTTTAAGTAAAACGAAAACATCTGTTCCACTCCTGAGGGAAAGAATTGTTTTTAAAAAGAGGGGGAGGGGATTCTTGGTTGTTAAGGCTGGAGATGGCCTCAGTAACTTTGCAAATGTTTAATAAAATAGACTGTCAGGTGCCTTGCTCACCGAGGATGATGAAAACTTGTGCGTGAGCCTTGGTTCACTTCATTTTTCAGGATGCCATACCCATGTTATCCCCTAACCCTGTCTAAAGCCATATGTTAATGTCTATCAACTGGTCCCAAGTTCTTTCCACACTGAATCAGGTAAATCCAGCTCAGTAAGTGACTGACCTTGTGCCACAAAGCTTGTCTTGGTCAGTAGCTGTGCACTCTGGGTAAGAAGTAGTATAAGTTAGCTATTGCTGCATAACAAAATACCACAGACTTCATATCTTTAAACAATACCATTTATTAGCCCACAACTCTCTCGGTCAGACCTCGGTATGGCATGACTGAGGGTCTCACAAGTATTGGCCAGGTTATGTTCTAATTTGAAGTTCAGGTCCTCTTCCAAGCTCATGTGTTTGTCCCACAATTCAGTTGCTATGGTTGTAGGACTGGGGCCCTGATTCTCTTGCTGGCTGTCAGCCAGCAGCCACTCTCAGCTCCTAGAGGCTGCCCAAATTCCTTGCCTCCTGGCCCCTTCCATTTTCAAAAGTGTCAACAGAGGATCTCCCTCACGTGGAATCCCCCTCATGCTGTCAATTACTCGCCTTAGGAAGAGCCCAGTCCCATTTAAGGGCTCACCAGATGAGGTCAGCCTCATCCAGGATAATCTCCCTTTCTTAAAGTCAACTATGCCACATAAGTCAACTTAATCCCAGGAGAAAAATCTATCATATTCACAGTCCTGAGGATTATGCAGGGGGTGGAGCTCTTGGAGGTCATCTTAGAATTCTGCCTACCATAAGAAATATAATGCAACATTTCTCTTTTCAGTCCTTTGTACTGTAGTGCATAGTTTCTTAAGCTTTTTACATCACAGGCTATTATTAAAATGAATGAATTCCATGGCCCCTGTTCTACCAAAAAAAAAGTCTATGTGCGCACACATACACATAGATATACAGACACATACAAAGTTGTCCACAATTTCAGCCACCCTACCCACACCCTGAGAAGTCAATCCACATTTAAAACTCTGTAGATGGAGGCAGAATAAGCTGGAGAGATGAAGGGGATTCCTTGAAGTATTTTAAGCAGAGAATTACATGATCACATGTTTAGTTTAAATAATTACTGTCAAGTTTTATGACAGGAAAGTGTGGAGACAGGGAATATAGTATAAAGATGTTCTGTGTTCTAGCAAGAGATCGCAAGGCTGTGCACTTGGGCACTGGTGGTAAGGTGTGAGAAGAAGCTAGAAAAGCAGCAGGTCTTGGTAAGTGATTAAATGTAAGTCATGAGGAAGAGGAGGAGTCAGAGCGAACTTCAAGTTTCCAGCTTGAGAAACTGGGTAAAACAAACAGGATAGAAGGCTGCTTGAGAGGATGGGAGGTAATGAGTTTATTTTTGGATATTTTGAGTTTGAAATGTCCTTGAGACAGCCTGGTGAAAACCAGGCAGCTGGGTATACTAGTCTGAAGTCCCCAGGAGAGGGCAAGGCTAGCAATAGATTTGAGGGGTCGCAGGAGAACATACCAGCTTGATTTTCACTGCACTAAAGTACCCTATGTATAACAATTTCTAAAACTTCAGAACAAAGAATGCTTTAATTTTATCTTTCTCTCTTACTTTAACATAATTTCTCCTAGAGTAAAATTTTACACAAAAAAACAAAGGAGTCTGCATTTATTATCACAGTTTTCCCCTATCAGAGTAGAAGGAAGGACCACAGGGCCACCACAGTATCATCAAGAAACCTAGTTAATATCCCCAAATTGGGTCCATTACTTTCTCACAGAAGCAGCCCTTTCTTCACTTTCACCATACATTGCCAGTCCTACATAAACCCGAGTGAAAATCTGATGGCATCTGAAGGAGAGCCCCCCAAAATTCAATCTCAGGTCCTAGGTGATATTTTAGTAGAAAAAAAACCCTTTGTATTCAGTTCTATGAAACACAGAATCAAATCATTTTATTGTGCCAAATGTCAGTAAAGTTAAGATGTTGTTGGGAATGTCTAAGCTACCCTACCTGGACATGAAATTGACCATGGGAGCCTTCTAAATGGTCTCCTGCACAATCCATTCTCCACAAGGCAGCCAGAGTAACTTTGTAAATGTAAAGCAGAGCATGACACTCTCATGCTTAAAGCCATTCAATGTTTCCCATTTCTATTCAAATAAAACCCAGACTTCTCACCGTGTAGGGCTCCATCCTAATCACATCTCCGCCATGTTCTCTCAGGCCCTCCCTGGTTCCCTTTTGAAGCCTAGCTTTTTCCTGACTGAGAACAATTGTGTTTTCCTCTTCCCGGAACTCTTTGCCCTCAACATTTCTTATAGCTGGCTCCTTCTCACCTTACCTTTCATGTATCACCTCAAAGTCTACTCCTGACCAAGGCCTTCCCTGACCACCATTTCTAACCCTTAACTACCTACTCTCTATCACATTACTGTTTTATTGTCTATATACACTTGTGATCTGAAATTATGATTTTTGTTTTGTACACTTGTTTTGGTTTTGTATATTTACTTACTGAATATGGAGCCGAAAGGGCAGTCACTTCATCTTTATTGTTCCATAGCATATGAGAAGTGCTAAATAAATATTTGTGGAATGAATGAACTAATTGAACTCATGTCCTGTTTCCATAAAATTAGTAAATAAATAGTAAGAAAAAAAAGCACTCTGAGCAAGGATGCCAGTTTCTGTAGTTGACACCGTCAGATTAAAGCCTTTAAGTAGCTCACAGTGGGCTGGAGAATGCCATGAGCAATTGTGATACAGCCTGATAAATACTAACAGGGTCCTCTAGGATCACAAGAAAGGAGCCTAATCTTGTCTTAGGGGATTCCATAAGGAATCATAGGCAAAGGTAAATGTGAACGATGAGTGAAGGAAAAATGTGGGGAGGAAGGATGGAAGGAACGTCGTGAGTGTCTAGACAGAAGGGACAGCAGGTGCAAAACTCTGCGGCAAGAGATGGGAATCTGAGAAATTTTAAGTAGTTCCCTGTTGTGGAGCATTCTCCCAGAGTAACTGCAGGATTCGATGACATAATAAAGTATGCGAACATATCGTGAACGCTAACGTGCCATATAAGTTATTATAAATAAGTGCAGACCTGTACTACTGGTCACTTATTACCTGATGGTTTCTGATATTCAAAGAAAAAGAAAACATTATTTCGGAGGACTTCGAGTGAACGCTTCTCTGACTTACAGACTTACATGCTAGATCCTCTGACTTCCCCCCTCCTTCCCCCCACCCCAGCTGGGTAGAGTCAAAAAGTTGGTGGAGCTCGCTGGCGCACGGGGAGCGGGGGTGGAGGGGGCCTCAACAACGGCTCTCATTGGCCTTTCAAACCGAACCGGTTGGACGATTGGCTGCGGAGGTTTCCAGAGGCCGTCCCACGTCGCTGATTGGATGAGGAGCGGAGAAGCTCCCACCTCCTTCACTCTAGACCCTCCTCGGTCCAGTTGCTTGGCAACCGATTGGCATCCTCCGGCCGAGCCGGCACCCAGTTAGTTACACCTGTGAAGCGGAGACAACAAACGGCTACGACCGGCCTACGCTTACGCCTTTCACGCCCACTTCACGCACAAGCAGCACGGGTGGTCCCAGAAGCTCATCCAGGTTTGCCTTCAGATGGGCTGTGGGCTGGCCCTGCAGTGACACACCGCAGTTGAGAAAGTGCTCACGTCTTCCTTCTGAACTCCTCCTTCGGAAGAGCCAGAGGAGAAAAAAAGTCACTGTTATATGTCCAACTTAGAGCCACTTATCTTGGGAGCACGCAGCGTTCTGAGGCTCGGTCGAGAAAGCATGTAACTTACGTCAGTTAACTAGGTGCGGGAAGGTGACCCATAACCTCAGACACCTGCCTCAGAGCGAACCCTAGGAGTGCGGGGACAAGTGCCAGACTCTGCTGCCTTATCATGTACAGCAGAGCCTACATCTTGCTGCAAAGAGAATTCCAAGAGTTGAAGAAAAACAATTATGAGGTGAGTACTGGAGACCTGGAGGGTGTGTTTCATTGGAGTACCAATTTTTAAAAGCAGTTTAATCTGTGTTTATTCTATAAGGCATAATTTAGTTAAACATACTTTGCCACTACAGACTTGTTTAATGAACCTATTTCAGTATAATTATCTGCTTCATAATAATAACAACTATTTGCACTTCATGATAATAGTTAACAATATTGAGCACACTATGCTGAGTAATTTATGGGCATTTAAGCCCTGAATATCAGGGTCCATCAGGTAGTAAGTGACTAGTAGGTCCAGGGTTGCACTCATTAATTACAATACTACAAAATAAGTTCGTAGTATTTTGTTTTACCTACCAGAAACCTAAGCCGCAGAAAGGGTCAGTAAATATTTGGCCGCAGGATTCCATCACAGGGTTTTCTACTACTTCCTGTCTAGTGCACTTTTTGCCAACTTCTGTCACATATAATACAGAAGCACCTTTCCCTTATAATTTTAACACAGCGCAAGGCTTTGCCCCGAATGCCACCAATGAGGTTTCAGTGTTCATAGGCTGTTCAGTGGTTGTCATAGGCTGTTTCATCACATACAATATGGAGAATTTAAAAATGGAAGGGGCGAGGGTGTACTTAGAAAGAATAGAAAGCCGTGCATAGAAAGAGGGTGTAGCATGCTTACCAACAGCTGCATAGGGCGTAGTTCAATGGCATTGCTCTCTTTTCACTCCTGCCATAGAAGTATTGCCTTAACAGGAGATGTCAGGAACAATTATTGAGTTCAACAACAAACATTCGAGAGGTATGAAAGTAACATTTGATGTTGTTTCTGCTCCACCTGAATTTTGTGGCTTTCTGTTGAAAGAAAATCTGTTGAAGGGAGAAGTGTTAGGTAAATATAGATAATGTAGGTAATAGAGATGTAATGGTTATCCAGACTAGCACTTAACATACCTAATAACTATGTGGTTGCTCAGAAGTATTTATCGACCATATTTAAGTGTATTCCTCAGCATAACCAATAACCTTATTCTATGAAATCCATTCTTGTCCCTCCATTGGAATAATGCCTCAAGTGTAGGAAAATTTTATTTTTATATATGAGCATAATTTTAGAGTTGTGTTTTTCTTAATGAAAATTTTCTTACTTCATGGCTTATATAGCATCCATATGGTTTTTAAAATCTTTGAAGAAATGCAAGCTTTCCAACTATTTCTTTCATTTTGAATTTGAGTCTTAAATTGTCTGTTGTCTTACATAGGCCACACATTCTAGTCTTGACCTTACTGTCCCACTTGTGATTTGCACACTACACTACTGATTTATTTAAAATTTGCTATTGCATGTTTTTCTGGAATCTATCTTCTCTGTAATAAGGCGATATATAACACCTTCCCAAAATAAAAAAAAAATTATCAGAAAAAGAAAACGTAGAGCTTTTGGAATTCATTGTAATCTAATATCTGATTTTCCAAGCTGCACTAAATATTTAATCTTTTTTCTGCTTTAATTTTTCTTAATTAAAGGGTATTACTGGCTTTCCTGTAAGTGAAGATATGATGCAATGGGAAGCTGATATTGAAGGTCTACAGAATACAGTTTGGCATGGTTTGTGCTTTCAGAACTAATTTACTTTTTTAAAAGTCTTTGTATTATTAGCCTATTTTCTTTAAGGTTGCATTGTATAAATTTCTAGAATTCTTAAAGTATTTACATGTTATTTTTTTATTATATGGTTTAATTTTTTGCCATTTGTCAACATGGATGGAAATTTCAGGTTTGAATTTTTCTTTATGCCCAATCTTGATGTTATCATGATTTTAAGAAGCACACACAGGAAAGCATTATCAATTGAGAATATCATCTGACAGTCTTCCATGAAGTCAGAGAATAGCTAACAAAATGCCTGTTGGCAGAAAAATCCCACAATTATGTCTCATTTTTTTCCTCTATGATTTTCCCACAAATTTCCATAAATCAAATTCTCAAGCAAACTAGGCAACTATAAGCTTTAATGACCACGCCCTCTTACAGTTGCGGATTAACAAGATACATTTGTTTAGTGAGGTAGGGGAGAAAAGCATGTAAGTGGGTAATTACAATAAAATATAACATGTTCTATTATGGATTTTGAATGGAATACCGAGGAGGCAGTGATTAGTTAATTTTGCCTTGGAGAGTCAGGAACGGCTTCCCAAGGAAGTGACCCTTGAGTTGGGTCCTAAAAAATGTGTGAGAATTCACCAGGTTTAGAATCAGAAGGAAATCCAGGCAGAGTAAACAGCCTGACATGAGGTGGCAAGAGAGGGTTCTGTAGCAGTGAGTTCAGTAAAGATGAGATACACAGTGAAGGGGCCGGGTGTTAGGGGGACAGGGTCAGTGGGTAGAAAGGACTAGTGGGAATGTGGCTGAAAACATGGAATTAGATTGTGAGGAGTCTGTTATACCATCTAGAGGAGTCTAGGCATCCTATAATCCAATTTACTTATTAATATAATAAAACTCTAGGGACCTTGGGGAGGCTAAACTGTAGGAATAAACTTCAGTGTTAGGTTACAGTTAATCAGTTCAACATGACACTTTAGTAAAAATGTTTCTTTTTGTATCACAGGATTATTCTTCCAACTGAGAATAAATTTTACATTGGAGTATAATTTTGTCCCTCCAGTTGTGAAATTTAGAACAATTCCTTTTCATCCAAATGGTAAGGAACAAATGAAATTTTTATCACGAGTTCTGTCCCCATTAACCTTGTTCTTTGTTAGTGTTTAATAATGTTTCTTTTTAATCACTTTGTTATGATTATAAAAGTAAGCATGCTTATTGGGGAAATGATCACCTGAATCCTAATTCATAGAGATACTATTCTCTATATTTAACCAAATTTATTTCCTTCTTCTATGTATGCATTTTATCTACATAGTTGAGTTATTACACAAAGTTTTATATATTTTTACTTAAAATGACATAATACGTTTATTTCTGCAATATTAAACATTCTTCAAAATATAATTTTTAATGACTGAATGATAAACTTAATTCCTGTATTGTTCAGTATTTTAGTTGGACCTAATTTTTTACTATAAAAATAATGCACAGACAAATTAACATTTTAGAAAGAAATAAGTTAGATTGCTACCTCAAGTCATATGCGAAGTAAATTCTTGATCGATTACAAATGCAAAAAATTTTAATGCTAAAAAGAAAATCTAATAGAACTTTTATGGGTGTGGTGAGAAAGACTTTTCTAAAAACAACAAGTCCTAGAAACCATGAGAAAAGCATGACACATTAAACTACATAAACTTTTTAAGACTTCTCTATAGCTAACGACATTATAAACAGAGATAAAAATACACTGACTTTTGCAAACTGAGGGGAAATATTTGCAATGCATAAAACAGAATATTTATAATATGTAAAGACCACTTGTGGATCAGTAAGAAAAAACAGAAAGCAACAGAAAAATGGGCAAAGGTTATAAACAAGCGCTTTTTTTTTTAGTGTGTTTTTGTTTTATATTGAAGTATAGTTGATTTACAATGTTGTGTTATTGTCAGGTGTACCATAAAGTGATTCTGTTATATATGTAGTCTTTTTAAGATTCTTTTCCCTTATATGTTATTACAAAATATCGAGTATAGTTCTCTGAACTATACGGTAGGTCCTTGTTACTTATCTGTTTTATATACAGTAGCGTGTATATGTTAATCCCAAATGCCTAATTTGTCCCTCCCCCTGCTTTCCCTTTTGGTAACTGTAAGTTTGTTTTCTATGTCTATGGGTCTATTTCTGTTTTGAATATAAGTTCATTTGTACCGTTTTTTTTTTTTAAGGTTCCACATATAAGTGATATCATATGATATTTGTCTTTCTCTGTCTTGCTTACTTCACTTAGTATGATAATCTCTAGGTCCATCCATGTTGCTGCAAATGGCATTATTTCATTCTTTTTTAATGGCTGAGTAGTATTCTATTGTATATGTATGCCACATCTTCTTTATCCATTCATCTCTTTTTTTTTTTTTTGGCGGTACACGGGCCTGTCACTGCTATGGCCTCTCCCGTTGCAGAGCACAGGCTTGGGACGCGCAGGCTCAGCGGCCATTGCTCACGGGCCTAGCCGCTCCGCGGCATGTGGGATCTTCCCGGACCACGGCACGAACCCGTGTCCCCTGCATCGGCAGGCGGACTCTCAACCACTGCGCCACCAGGGAAGCCCTATCCATTCATCTCTTGATGGACATTTAAGTTACTTCCATGTCTTGGCTATTGTAAATAGTGCTGCAGTGAACATTGGGGTGCATGTATCTTTTTGAATTATAGTTTTCTCTGGGTATATGCCCAGGAGTGGGATTACAGGATCATATGGTAGCCCTATTTTTAGTTTTTTAAAGGAAGCAGCATACATTTCTCCATAGTTGCTGTACCAATGTACATTCCCAACAACAGTGTAGGAGGGTTCCTTTTTCTCCACACCTTCTCCAGCATTTATTGTTTGTACACTTTTTCATGATGGTCATTCTGACTGGTGTGAGGTGATACCTCAACATAACTTTGATTTGCATTTCTCTAATAATTAGCAATGTGGAGCAGTTTTCATGTGCGTGTTGGCCATATATAAGTCTTCTTTGGAGAACTGTCTATTTAGATCTCATGCCCATTTTTTGATTGGGTTGTTTTGGGTTTTTTTTTGATGTTGAACTGTAGAGCTGTTTGTATACTTTTACGATTAATCCCTTTTTGCTCACATCATTTGCAAAATTTTCTCCCATTCTGTAGGTTCTCTTTTTGTTTTGCTTATGGTTTCCTTTGCCTTTAAGTTTAATTAGGTCCCATTTTTAAATTTTTTTTAATTTATTTTTTGCTGTACGCAGGCCTCTCACTGTTGTGGCCTCTCCCGTTGCGGAGCACAGGCTCCGGACGCGCAGGCTCAGTGGCTATGGCTCATGGGCCTAGCCGCTCCGTGGCATGTGGGATCTTCCCAGACCAGGGCACAAACCCATTTCCCCTGCATCAGCAGGCGGACTCAACCACTGCGCCACCAGGGAAGCCCCCATTTGTTTATTTTTGTTTTTATTTCCATTACTCTAGAAGACAGATCCAAAAAGATATTGCTGTGATTTATGTCAGAGTATTCTGCCTATGTTTTCCTCTAGGAGTTTTAGAGTATCCAGTTTTACATTAGGTCTTTAATCCATTTTGACTTTATTTTTGTGTATGGTGTTAGAGAGTGTTCTAATCTGATTCTTTTACATGTAGCTGTCCAGTTTTCCAAGCACCACTTATCGAAGAGACTATCTTTTCTCCATTGTATATTCGTGACTCCTTTGTCATAGATTAATTGACCACATGTATGTGGGTTTATTTCTGGGCTTTCTATCCTGTTCCACTGATCTGTATTTCTGTTTTTGTGCCAGATACTGTTTTGATGATTGTAGCTTTGTAGTATAGTCTGAAGTCAGGGAGCCTGATTCCTCCATCTCTGTTTTTCTTTCTCAAGATTACTTTGGCTATTTCGGGTCTCTTGTGTTTCCATACAAATTAAAAATTTTTTTGTTCTAGTTCTGTGAAAAATGCCATTCGTAATTTGATAGGGATTGCATTAAATCTGTAGACTGCCTTGGGTACTATAGTCATTTTGACAGTATTGATTCTTCCAGTCCAAGAACACATCTGTTTGTGTCATCTTCAATTTCTTTCATCAGCGTCTTATAGTTTTCAGAGTACAGGTCTTTTGCCTTCTTAGGTAGGTTTATTCCTAGGTATTTTATCCTTTTTGATGTGATGGTAAATGGGATTATTTCCTTAGTTTCTCTCTGATTTTTCATTGTTAGTGAATAGAAATGCAACATATTTCTGTGTATACATTTTGTATCCTGCAACTTTACTGAATGCATTGATGAGCTCTAGTAGTTTTCTGGTAGTGTCTTTAGGATTTTTTATGTATAGCATCATGTCATCTGCAAACAGTGAAAGTTTTACTTCTTCTTTTCCAATTTGTATTCCTTTTTTTTGCGGTACGCGGGCCTCTCACTGTTGTGGCCTCTCCCATTGCAGAGCACAGGCTCTGGACGCGCAGGCTCAGCGGCCATGGCTCACGGGCCCAGCTGCTCCGCGGCACGTGGAATCTTCCCAGACTGGGGCACGAACCCATGTCCCCTGCATCGGCAGGCAGACTCTCAACCACTGCACCACTAGGGAAGCCCTATGTTGACTAAAAATGGCGAGAGTGGACATCCTTGTCTTGTTCCTGATCTTAGAGGAAATGCTTTCAGCTTTTCACCGCTGAGTATGATGTTGTTAGCTGTGGGTTTGTTATATATGGCCATTATTATGTTGAGGTAGGTTCCCTCTATGCCCACTTTATGGAGAGTTTGTATCATAATTCGATGTTGAATTTTATCAAAAGCTTTTTCTGCATCTATTGATATGATTATATAGTTTTTACTCTTCGATTTGTTGATGTGGTGTATCACACTGAATGATTTGTGGATATTGAAAAATCCTTGCATCCCTGGGATAAATCCCACTTGATCCGGTGTATGATCTTTTTAAAGTATTGTTGGATTCAATTTGCCAGTATTTTGTTAAGGATTTTTGCGTCTAGGTTCATCAGTGATATTGGCCTGTAATTTTCTTTTTTTGTGAAATCTTTGCCTGATTTTGGTGTCACAGTGATGGTGGCCTCATAGAATGAGTTTGGAAGTGTTCCTTCCTCTGCAGTTTTTGGAATAGTTTCAAAAGGAAAGGTGTTAACTCTTCTGTAAGTGTTTAATAGACTTCGCCTGTGAAGCCATCTGGTCCTAGACTCTTGTTTGTTGGGAGTTTTTAAGTCACAGTTTCAATTTCAGTACTTGTAATTGGTCTGTTAATATTTTCTATTTCTTCCTCGTTCAGTCTTGGGAGATTGTACCTTTCTAAGGTTTGTTCATTTCTTCTAAGTTGTCCATTTTATTGACATATTGTTTCTTGTAGTAGTCTCTTATGGTCCTTTGTATTGCTGTGGTGTCGGTTGTAACTTCTCCTTTTTCATTTCTGATTTTACTGATTTGGGCCCTCCCTTTTTTCTTGATGAGTCTGACTAAAGGTTTATCCATTTTGTTTATCTTTTCAAAGAATCAGATTTTAGTTTCATTGATATTTTCTATTGTTTTCTTAGTTACTATTCCATTTATTTCTGCTCTGATCTTTATGATTTCTTTCCTTCTGCTAACTTTGGGTTTTGTTTGTTCTTCTTTCTTTAGTTGCTTTAGGTGTAAGGTTAGGTTGTTTATTTGAGATTTTTCTTGTTTCCTGAGCTCAGGTTGAATCACTGTAAATTTCCCTCTTAGAACTGTTTTTGCTACATTCCATAGGTTTTGGATCATTGTGTTTTCATTTTCATTTGTCTCTAGGTACTTTTTTGATTTCCTCTTTGGTTTCTTCAGTTATCCATTGGTTGTTTAGTAGAATACTGTTTAGCCTCCACATGTTTATGTTTTTTTGAAGTTATTTTCTTGTAGCTGATTTCTAATCTCATAGTCTTGTGGTTGAAAAAGATGCTTGATATGATTCCAGTTTTCTTAAATTTACCGAGACTTGATTTGTGCCCCAGCAAGTGATCTGTCCTGGAGATGGTTCCATGTGTACTTGAAAAGACTGTGTATTCTGCGGCTTTCAGATGGAATGCTCTATAAATATCAATTAAGTCCATCCGGTCTA